TGCACCTAAGTGTCTGATATTCAAATTTCGCTTTCTGGGTCAAAACTACTCGAATTTCCGCACTCACGTTGTTACGACTGAATCGAGTTTTCAATCCTCTATTCAACGATGCCAAAACGAATTCTGTGGCTGAAAGGGTTCTTGAGAAACTTCGAATAAAGGCCATTTAGTTGCAAATTAGCAAAACGAGCGTTCCTGCTCATTTTGCCTCCGAGAAATGAGCAAAAACGGGACGAAAAACATGAAATTTTGCAATAATCTTGCGTCACCCTTGCACAAAACGACGATCATTTTTCTACTTTCATAAACAACAGAGGACTGTATTTTTTTACATAACCCCCCCCTGACTTTAAAGCCGGATCTGCCCCCGGTGCTTGAAGCCTTTTAAATGTTTCAGACGATTTTTCAGGCAATTTTATCCGAAAGTTAATAGTTTTCGAGGTGCAGAAAACGCATTTAGTACCAAACCATAGTAAGGCTAGGCTCATTATTGAATCAGGGTGGCGCTTGAAGCCTTTTAAATGTTTCAAACGATTTAACAAAAGAATTACATGCAAGTAGCACATTGTTGGTATTTGCGGCCTGCCAGGAAGAGACGGTGAGAATGATCGAATTCACTTTGATTATCTTAGACCGCTTTTACTTTTACTTATTATTTATCTAATTGAATTCTGGCTGCGATAAATTAGTGAATGTGGTGTACGAGCTTTATAACACGCGGTATAACTCGTGAGCAGAGAAGGCACTTTTTCGCCGTCCCAGTATGTAAAACTGGTCGAAATGCTATAAGGGAAAGGTATGATGTATCGACTGGAATTTATCTAATAATTATATGGGAAATCCTTTTAGTGGCGTTAGGATTATTAATTGATATGGCAGGTTTAAACTGGGTTCAGTTGCCGCATCTGGACGCAACCTAATGGTTTTGTAACTCGATTTATACGCCTGTTTATTGAAATCATCAAACCTTGCTCAGGTGTACACTCACCTTCTTGAGCCACTTTGGGTCTGGCAAAGGAAGGTCGGGAAAAGCGATTTTCCTTTCCACATAATACCATGGGGCCCTCACGTAGTAGTACCATGATATCACTCGCTCGACTGGATCGCGCACCAGATTAATGTAGATGGGTTCTGGCAGGCCAAATCTAGTTAAAACACATCACAAAAAGTGGTTTCAAATGAGCCAAGGAAAACATCCGCTCTCAAAAAGTCCAATTAAATATGAAACTGAAGATCTTGAAATAACTTTAGGCACTCTTTATGCGTCAGAGTACACCCTAAGCACTCTGTTTGGCGCAAAATACTCCGTTTCAGGCAATTTTATCCGAAAGTTAATGGTTTTGGAGGTGCAAAATGACAAAGTGTTAATAATTTATTTTCACAGATTTCACTGCTACCAAAAAAATATATTTGATCATTTTTCAGGTCGAAGAATTCGAATTGTCTTTTACTCAGCTTGTAGTTTTTAGAGGATCCAGGCTGCAATAATCTGGACTCATTTAAAACATCGGATTTTTTGAGTTCTTGAATAAACCTCAATTTAGTTGAGCACCACACTGTTCAACATAAACCTCAATTGCAATTTTTTAAACACATTTTAAAAAAATGTAATGCAAAAGATCTGAAATTCTGAATATTTTGTGCTCCGGGCGTCATTTCACTGTGGCAAATTGTCGATACAACGTGAAGACTTGGTTACTCTTGAGATAATCACTTGAAAGCGAGAATAAACACAAAAAATTACTCACGATGAAACGTTAGTGAAGCAGACATGCTTAATGTAAACCGACGGTTCTTCGTAGCTGGAAACCAGCGCTGATAAGGCTGCTTGGTCTTCCGGTGCCAACCTGATGGTTTCCACCCGTTGCACCCGGTCCTGATGGAACCCAAAGTCGTTTCGAATGCTCAATCGCCTCAGCAGCTCCATGAGCGTTTGCGATCCCACTTTGGGCACCCGGTTGAAGAACACCACGTCATGTTGGGCTTTTCTTGTGTTGTTCAGTTGGTTCGGCTCTAAAGTTGACATCTTCGAGAAGAGGAAAATCGCGTCTAGATCACCAGTTTTGAGGGAGTTTTGCGCTTACCTCTCCAGTGCTTTGGAGTAATTTCATCATGGCTTTGACGCCTGATAGTTCTTCAGGTCCACTCTCTCCTGGAGTTTAATTTAGGTCAATTTCCTCCCTACGGTTGATTGCATGGAAACACTTACCGGACAATAATTGGTTGGTTAGAATGATGTCCTCCGGTTGTAGCCTCACTTCCATCTCCTTCAGTCTCAGATGCAAGTCCCTGGTGTGAAGGAAGAGGAACAAGGTAGTGGAGACTGCGATCAGAGCGACCAGTTCGCTTGTCCTGAAACAGCCTCAGTTAATTAATCTGGAAGATTTTCTGCAAAGTGGCAATTCTGATTCGGTTAATGCGTAATGGCGGTCTGGGAATTAAAATTTATGCTCATCAGTTCGTCCGAATCGTGATCTGTTGCTTGTTACGAAATCGTGCATAATAGCTGCTGGTAAAAGGACTTGAAAGGAAGACATGAAAATTAAACATTAGACCGGACACCGGACAATGTTTCCTTACTTAATAGCGGAACGAGATTTGTATAGTCGCTCGCTTTCTTCTGCTAATTTGCTATAGTAGATGGCGTTTTTTTGGAAAATGCGATAATTATGCGAGGAGCCACTGATTAGCTGGATTTACATGGAATTAGTACAATCGGCTATAAAAGATTTTCTGGGTTTTTTTGTGTTTCTGTTCTCAGAATTTCACTTTCATTTTAAGCAAATGAGCAATCAGCGGATTTATGCAGTTCGAAGCCATTTGAATAATTGCCTGCGTGAAGTGCTCGATTGCTTTGAATAAATGGAAAAAGTCAAGAATTCAACAGCTGAACGTCTAAACTGTACTAAATGTAAAAAAAATGTAAAAATCGACTCAAACATGACGCTGCCTTTTTGAAAGTTTCTCAAGAACCATTTGAGCCACATAATTCGTTTTGGCATCGTTGGATAGAGAATTGCAAATTCGACTCAGTCGTAACAACTTGAGTGAGAAAATTCGAGTAGTTTTCACCCA